AGTATGCTGATAAAAAAAATAATGAATAATAATAATAAATAATAAAAACGAAAAAAAAATGATTAAAATGAAAGCAGAACTCCGAGCAGAAATGAAATTTTAAACCCTTGCGGAGGGGCTACCCCCACACTGCGAGGGGTTAACGTGACGGTTTCTGATCAAGTCTTTAAATTAGTTTTTTTTCCAAGCAAGTCGGCCTCCTCAGGCTGTCACCGTGCCTCTTCCTGTGCAGGTTATGGAATCACCCTGATTGGCTGTCATGGCGGTCACATGACTTGGGGAACCGCGGTGACTGGTTTCCCCCGATCATCGGCATAGATCCATCAAAGCCAGCGCAGCCTCTGAATGAGGAGAGGGCACAGGTGCGCGTCGCTGCGTTAGCAGTACATTCGCATCCCGCTCCTCCGCCACTAGCTACCTATCAGGCCGTGTAGGGAGGGGGAGAGGAGCTGGGCCAGCGCAGACCGTAATTAGATTTTATATATATAGGGAGAAAGGGGGCGGTGCTAGGGAACTGACTCTTCCGGGGCGGAGTCAAATATTCTAGCGACTAAAATATTCTAGCCGATTTTAAAGGCACAGCGACTAAAACAAACTCTGCAGGCTGGTGACAGGGACTCTTTATTTAAAGGAGCCTCGTCCTAGAATTGGTGTAACATTGGAGGACGACGACGGCCTGCGCCTGGCGCTCGCAGGAATTCCCACTCAGGCGTTTCCCTTTGTGAATGGGGCCTTTGTCAGATCTCCACCCCGTTCCCCTGCAGTTACATGGAGCAGGATGCTGAGGGGGGGCCTGAGGGGGGTGAACTCCTTTCATTCTCTTTTATTAAGTGCAGATGTCTTATTAACCTCTTTATTACCTCCACAAATTCACCAAATAGAGCCAAGTGCTGTATGTACAGTGATGGGGTGAGGGCGGGGGATGGGGACCCCGAGGACCGAAAATCCTTCCAGTATATGAGGGGTCAGCATTGGTTTCTGGAAGCGGAATGAGCCCCCTTCATGCGGGGCCCATCGCCCAAATCCCACATAACCCCCCCAACATAAGAACGGCATTTTCATTCCGATGATGTCATCGACGGGTCTCTGTGCCTCTCTATGCGATGCAGAGGTGGGAGGGGCCGGCGGGGTGCTGTGCGTAGCTCCATTGGTTGGACTCTACGGGCCCGTGTGTTTGTTCGGCCTCAGCAACTATGTTAGGCATCACAGCGCCCTGCCTTGTTACTCGTCTCAAGAGCTGATGCAAGCACTGGTCTGGTTTGTGGGAGGAGTTATGCAAATATCAAATTGCCCTTGATGGACAAGCCCCCTAATGTGATAGCACAGGAACAGTGACAGGTCCTCTTTATGGAGGCATCAGGGGTCTATTAGACCTTTAATGTCACCTAGGGGCCCCCAAAGGAGTTGATGATCCTAGGGACCCCCAAAGGAGCTGATGATCCTAGGGGCCCCCAAAGGAGCTGATGATTCTAAGCAGCTGATGATCCTATGGACCCCCAAAGAAGCTGATGATCCTAGGGGCCCCAAAAGGAGCTGATGATTCATAGCAGCTGATGATCCTATGGACCCCCAAAGGAGTTGATGATCCTATGGACCACCAAAGGAGCTGATGATCCTAGGGACCCCCAAAGGAGCTGATGATCCTAGGGGCCCCCAAAGGAGCTGATGATCCCATGGACCCCCAAAGAAGCTGATGATCCTATGGACCCCCAAAGAAGCTGATGATCCTAGGAGCCCCCAAAGGAGCTGATGATCCTAGGAGCCCCCAAAGGAGCTGATGATCCTAGGGGCCCTCAAAGGAGCTGATGATCCTAGGGGCCCTCAAAGGAGCTGATGATCCTAGGGGCCCTCAAAGGAGCTGATGATCCTATGTACCCCCAAATGAGCTGATATTCCTAGGGGCCCCCAAAGGAGCTGAGATCTGCTTCTTCTGTGGCTACAGCAGCCGGAGGAATGACGCGTTGAAACCGGAAGTGATGTAACGCGCATTCGTATATACTCGATCCCTTGTACGGTGCATGAGAGTGTGTGCCCCCCTACCACCGCTGGTGCCCGCTACCCCGGCCTCTGCTGACCACTTATGCGTGTCTGGGACCAGCACGGTGGGTCTGATTTCATTATGCTTGTATGTAATGGCCATCGCCAACGGTAACAAGTGTTTGCAGTGTCCTGGTAGCGTGCGCATGAGCAGGAAAAAAAAAGCAGTTTATTTACTGCATCCCGCACCCAAGCGCGAGCCGTCCGTCCGTCTGTCTGTCCGTTTTTATATACAACGAGCAGGCGGCAAGGGGTTAAATGTGGAAAAATACAAACAGATTTGACTAAACTTAAAGGGGAAACAAACAAAAAATAAAGTTTCATAAAAACATTCATCTATATTTATTTCATTATTTCTTTATTTTACTTTATTATTCTTTCATTTGTTTTATTTATTTTATTATTTGTTTCATGATTCATGGGGGGCTAAGTCGGCCTGTTGTCCTATGGCAGGGATAGGCAACCTCGGAACTCCGGCTGTTGTGGAACTACAAGTCCCATGAGGCATTGCCAGACTCTGAAAGCCACAGGGCATGACTCGCAGAGGCATGATGGGATTTGTAGTTTCACCACAACTGGAGAGTCCAAGTTGCCTACCCTTGTTAAAATAGAATGTAAAGGCCATTGGGAAGGTGTTGTTGGCGTAATTGCGCAATATGTACATTTGGCGGTGTTGGGTTTGCGCTGACTGTAGTCACTGATCATCATGTTATGTCTCCTTTCTCCTTCAGGCCCACAGAGCTTCCCCGATAATGTCATCACCTTGCAAGATCGCCTCCGAGGCTTCCGCTTCAACGCTCCTCGGCGACATCAAAATGGAGCCCCCCGAGCAGCTCCTGGACGGCGACGGCGGTCTGCAGCAGTCGGAACCCGTCGACTTATCTCTCCACAAGCCCAAGAACTCCCTGCGCCAGACCCAGAGCCCGCTCCCTTCCACGTCGGTGAACTCCCCCCCGCCGCCGGTGGTCTCCCTGTCCGGCCTCAGCTCGGCCATCCCCGCGGTGCTTTCCCCGGGATCCATCTTGGCGTCCACGCAGGGCAGCGACGGGCAGCGGATCCTCCACGTCATCCACACCATCCCCTCCATCAATCTGCCCAGCAAGATGGGCGGCCTGCAGACCATCCCCCTCGTGGTGCAGTCGCTTCCCGTGGTGTACACGACGCTGCCTGCGGATGGCGTCACAGCGTCCATCACCGTGCCGCTAATAGGGGCGGACGGGAAAACCACAGGTGAGAATTCACTATTCATACGTGTTTGTGTGTCGGCATGACGACATTCCTGACATGTCACCCCTCCCCCTTCCCTATACACACACTGCAGTCTCCTGATCCCCCTTCCATATAGACACATTGTAGTCTCCTGATCCCCCCTCCCCATACACACATTGTAGTCTCCTGATCCCCCCTCCCCATCTGATCCCCCTTCCCCATACACACATTGTAGTCTCCTGATCCCCCTTCCCCATAGACACATTGTAGTCTCCCTGATCCCCCTTCCCCATAGACACATTGTAGTCTCCCTGATCCCCCTTCCCTATGCACACACTGTAGTCTCCTGATCCCCCTTCCCTATGCACACACTGTAGTCTCCTGATCCCCCTTCCCCATAGACACATTGTAGTTCCCCTGATCCCCCCTTCCCCATAGACACATTGTAGATTACCTGGCCTGGCTCCGCCCACACTGCTTCGTGAGCCATTCATAGAGATCTGTGAATGGAAGACTACAAGTCCCATCTGATATTTTTTCTGCCTGGAATTCAGCTTTAAAAACAAAAATAATATTTTCATATAGACAGGCGGCCTCTAGGGGGAGCCAGCGTGCCGAGAATGACTTCCCGCGCAACGCTGCAATGCAAATCTCACATTCCCTGATCAGTATTCTGATGTAATCAATGAATTCATTTTATTTTTGGATAAAACGCGGAACTGTTTGGCGTGATGTCACCGATTTAGCTGCACCCCCCCACTGATGAGACTTTTAATGCCCAACCCCCGACCACAGCTATTTATCTCCTTTTCAATATATTGGGGAAGGGTTTGGAAGGTCTATCCAAATTTTTGTGTGTAGTCTATGGCCTTATTGGGGAGGCAGCAGACAGCAGGCAGCAGACAGCAGGCGGTGACACAACAATGGTGGTCCATTATTTTTAATTAACGGAATATCAACGTGATTAAAAAAGCCGACACGTTTTGGGGGTCTACCGTGTTTCTCCGAAAATAAGACACTGTCTTATATTTTTTTTGGCTCAAAAAAACACACTAGGTCTTATTTTCGGGGTAGGTCTTATTTTTTCTTTTATGTAAAACAATCCAAAGTTAACACAAATCCAAATTAAATCATCCAAGAGTTAAGAATATGGTGATCAGGGGCGCCGTACCTTTCCAAGAGCAATTTGGTAACCAATCGCTGGCCAGAATGAGCGAAGCGCGCTGTCACTATGGATACCTCACAGGCGGAGTGCATTTGGTATCACTCCGCCAGTGACAGGAGGCGGCGCTATAGAGGCATCGGCTTATGCGGCTCTGCTCCCTCCGGTGCCGCCTCGCTTCCTCCAGCGCCGGCTTCATTGGCATCGCTGATTCTCTCCCGCGGGTCTTCAAGTTCCTCCTTATGCCACCACCGGCCCTGGGAATGGTCACAACTAGGTCTTATTTTCGGAGTAGGTCTTATATTTTAGCAATTCCCAAAAATAGTACTAGGTCTTATTTTCAGGGAAACAGGGTATGCAGCCGATGGAACTGCTTTATCAGCTGGTATAAACGTATGATCTTTGAGTGCAAGCATTCCTAAAGGGATATAGTATATGAACCCTGATGAAGGGGGAGTGTGTAGATACGTGAAACATCTTGGCTTTTTCTTATTCCTGTTTATTTTTTTTATTTTTATTTTTCATTTAATACTTTTGATCTTTTTAAATCCATTCAATTTTTTTTTTTTTTTTATACTGTCGATCTATTTTTAAGTACTGTTGATCTTTTTTAATACTGTCACATTTTCTACCTTTTTAAAAAAAATTTTTTAATCCTGTCGATCTTTTAAAAAAAATTCGATTAATCTTTTTCTTAATCCTGTTAATCTTTCTTTTTATTTTTTCTTTCTTCTTTTCTTTCTTTTCCTTGTTTTCTTTCTTTCTTTCTTTCTTTCTTTCTTTCTTTCTTTCTTTTCATTTTCTTCCTTTTTTTTCTTTCTTTCTTTTCCTTTTTCTTTCTTTTCCTTTTTCTTTCGTTTGCTTTTGTTTCTTTCTTTTCCTTTTCTTTCTTTTCCTTTTTTCTTTCTTTTGCTTTGTTTTGTTTCTTTCTTTTCCTTTTCTTTCTTTTCTCTTTCTTTCTTTTCTCTTTCTTTCTCTTTCTTTCTTTCTTTTCTTTCTTTCTTTCTTTCTTTTCTTTTCTTTTCTTTCTTTTCTTTTCTTTTCTTTTCTTTTCTTTCTTTTTCTTTTTCTTTTTCTTTTTCTTTTTCTTTTTCTTTTTCTTTTTCTTTTTCTTTTTCTTTCTTTCTTTCTTTCTTTCTTTCTTTCTTTATCTTGGTGATCCCCCCTCTCTCTCTCTCCCTCTCT